AATCACTACTGCTTGCTATTCTATTTGGATGAGGCAAATCATGGATGAGGCAGAGCACATGTTCAGACCAGAACACTGCAGTGCATAATGCATATACAGCCATGTATGCAGAATTAGATATAACTTTGCCACACTACAGGTGTGTGCTGGGCACAGGATGGCATAAAAAAAAGGTATATTTGCCTGCTGTAATGCAATTACTAATTGCATTACAGCAGGCAAATATAACTTTTTTTTATGCCATCCTGTTTTTTTATGCTGAACATGTGCTCTGCCTCATCCATGATTTGCCTCATCCAAATAGAATAGCAAGGCAAATATAACTTTTGAGGCCATCCTGTGCCCACCCCCCATCCTGTGCCCAGCCCCAGCAGTGCTGCTAACCTTCTCCGTCGTCTCCGTCTGCTTCATCCCCTCGTGTCACAGCCTAGTCATCTGTCAATGCCGGCCTCTTCTCATGCTGATTGGCCGATTGAATGATTGACAGGCTTCCCCACCAATCACGAGTGAGGACAGAGGAATTGAAGGTGGAGTCTGCTTTCGGCCGTGGGGAAGGAGATCGCGGCCATCTTGAATGAATGCAGACGCGGTCCTGTGTGCTGTGTGCGGTGGTGGAAGATGGCGGACACAGGTACTCGTTTTAGACATCCGAGCATTTGCACGAGTACGAGTACCCATGCAAATACTCGGTATCGCGGCCGATACTGATACTTGTATCGGTATCGGTGCATCTCTATTTGATACCATCAATATATAGTCCATAAACAATCGAACTAGTTGAGCAAGTTGGTGACTTCTGTTTCATGTTGAACAGTAGCTATGGAAGATGCCATGGCTGTCACATGGCTGGCGAGCTTACTAGTTTACAGAAGATTTGCATTAGTTTCACTACAGGGTTAGCTGACAGAAGTGACAACACACACTGATTTTCTGGCAAGATCAACCAGTATTTTCTGTACTTGCTGAAAATGTTCCTAGATGTGGTGGCTACATTCATTTTAACTTTTCAGCTCATGGACTGGTAGGTAACATATATTTCATTTTGTTCTTGGGTTTAGTTATTTTAACTCTTCAACATTTTAAGCATGTCATTCTTAAATACGTTTTGCATGTATGTCTGCAAAACACATTAATTTAAATTACACGCAAGTAATTATGTACCCAGTATGTGCAGGAACACCAAGTTAAATAAACCAAAGCACACCATCAAGACAATTCTGTACTTGTCGTGGTGACCATTGTCAGAGGGACAGAAAGTGATGGAAATGTGTGTGTATATATATATATATATATATAATGATGCTTTGCCTCCTCGGCTGTCCACTCTAAAATATATACAGTGGGGCAAAAAAGTATTTAGTCAGCCACCAATTGTGCAAGTTCTCCCACTTAAAAAGATGAGAGGCCTGTAATTGGCATCATAGGTAGACCTCAACTATGAGAGACAAAATGAGAAAACAAATCCAGATAAATCACATTGGCTGATTTGGAACCAATTTATTTGCAAATTATGGTGGAAAATAAGTATTTGGTCAATATCAAAAGGTCATCTCAAAGAAACCAAAATGGGTTTTAAAAGGGTTTACATTTTAAAAATATCTTAACATATAATTGTTGCACAAGCCATTTTGTAATTTAATGTTATTAAAATTACCTTTCCATTTAAAACTCTAGGTTCTGTAAGGTTCTACTTCTGTCC